AGCTGCTTTTCAGCAGGTCAACCTCCAGCCTGTCCTGGTGCCGGGGGTTATTCCTCCCTAGGTGCAGGACCCTGCATTTGATCCCAAATAACTTTTGAGAACCGAGCCAATTTGTTGCTGGTCTTTACTCTGTAATTTCAAGAAGCAGGAAGCACATGAAATCCTCTGCCTTAAGAGAACTTATGAAGTTAATAATCTTTGTAATAAACTTTTTGGTTTGTTTTCCTTAAAATTATACCAGGTTTATTGGGAAAATGGAGCACAGATCACATCACCTCATGATAAGGAAATTATAAAATGTATAGAAGAGTGCGTTGAACCATGGAATGGCTCTTGGAATGAGAATCTAGTAGATACCAGTCCCCTTAGACAAGATCCTCTGAAGAAAATTTGTGACTGTTATATGGAAGATCTGAAAAAGATCTGTTATCACAGGTATTGTATAAAATAAACTGTACTGAAATTATATTTTTAAGGGAGCTATGGGATGATGCCATATGGTAGATGGAGTGCTGAGAGATGCATCTTAGACTTTATTATTAAAGCATGATAAAGCACTTTATTATTAAAGCTTCTATACATACCCATTTTTGATATGGTTTTAGGCATGGGCTATCTTCTAGAAGTTTTATAGTTTCTGACCTGCATGTAGTGATTTTATTGCCCCAGATCAGTGACCTGATTTTTGCCTTTATGGTTCTCAGAAGTCTGGTTCTCCACTCTGCCAGGGACATCAGTGCTTGAGGCTGTTGTTCTGTGCTCTTCTTTGTGGGAAGAATTTTGAGTCATCTCCCTGTTCTGTCTTATTTCATCCTTTCTCTAGTGTGTTACTGTAAATTATATGGTCACTGTCATTAGGACTAGATAGTACTTTTTGACAATAAACAGCTAATTTGAGAAACAAATCTGGTCACTGTCCTTGGACACCAGGCTGCAATAACGCACCCTGATATGAACCATGATGTACAAATGAATGTACTCAGAGTTGAGGGGGGAAAAAAAGAATAAAATTCTGAGGTTTGGAGCAAAGGGATGAGGCGTACGTGCGTGAAATAGAAATGAAATGATAAAGTTCAAGGGTTACGTAGGGCTGAAGAAAACAGTAGAGGAGCTGGATGAAGGAGTAAGACCTTCGGGATGGTGGAAGAGCTCAAATTTATTGTAGAAATTAAAGGTTCAGTCTCGGGAGATTTTCAGCAAGCTCAGTGGAGGGTAAATACTGTTTTCCACAGGGAGAAACTTTAAGCTAGCAATTTCAAGTGAGTGTCCAAATGAGTACTTTTCACTTGTGCCTTCTTTGAAATTGCTACAGAAATCAGCAGAATAGTACAAAGTATAATTATGTTTTCTTCTTATTTTACTTTTCCACATGAAGGTAGTGTTGTGAAATAACTAAAATGTTACCTTTCTTTTTTTGTTGTTGTTTTCCTTCCTTTTCAGGGAGCTAAACATGCAAACAAACTTGAAGTTTGTTCATACCTCGTTTCATGGAGTCGGACATGACTACGTGCGGCTGGCTTTTAAAGCGTTTGGCTTTCAGCCCCCCATTCCAGTACCTGAACAAAAAGATCCAGATCCAGACTTCTCTACTGTCAAATGTCCAAATCCTGAAGAAGGAGAATCTGTGCTGGTATTTTTGTTTGTACTTCCATAGATTTATGTAGTTCTATGGACTTTCCTTTGTTTGGCTATGATATTATGACAAAAACAAAGCCAGGAAGAGAACAGGGAGCAACTTGCTTCCCGCTGTGTTAATGCAATGGGCAATTCATATGAGATTTTCTTTCGCTGCATATTATATATTATTTGTATAAATAAGAAGAATGACTATGGATTTATTTGATTTTGTGTCTTTTTTTTTTTTTTCCCTTCTCTCACCAGGAGTTGTCACTGAGGCTTGCAGAGAAAGAAAGTGCTAGAGTAGTAGTGGCCACTGATCCAGATGCAGATAGATTAGCAGTGGCAGAACAACGGGAGAAGTAAGTAATGGGAACTCTTGTTTTGTCTCTTCCTGAAGAAAAAGTAGTGAAAATTGCTAAGTGTCCCAACAAGATAGACAGACACACACTTTAAAACCTTCCTTTACTGTTGTGACTTAGCTATTTGGATGTTTTTCTTGCTCACTTCATCTGTTATCATAGCTCTAGCTGAAGTAATGTATCTTAAATAAAATTGGTTAATAACTTGGAAAAGATGTGATGAAATACTTACCAGTATCACAGTAAATGGCCAGATGAAACTTTACTGAAATGTGGAGTGGTTGTTACAGTAAAGTCTTGTTGTCTCTGCTTTTTAACTTCTAGCAGACAAACAAATGCTACCTTTTGACAGTTAACGAATGTGGGCTTGCTTTTTTTCCTTTTTCTCTGCTTCTCTGTATTGAATAGAAATTATTTTTCATCCCTGCTAACAGGCCCAAATTCTGATCATTGTGTAAGTAACTGTCTGTAACGTGCAGTTGCACAGGTATTGCCTAAAGCCAAAAACTTTAGGCTGCTGTGCTTCTGTTGGATAAATTAAAATGACCTAAGCTGTGTGAAAGTTGATAGTAAGGGAACTTAATTGACATCTTTGCCTGCTGGTAGAATGCACTGGGCTTGTAAATCATTGAGACGCGAAAAACGTGGAGTCCTGTTAGTATCGTGGCTTTTTATAGAGCAGCTTCTCAGTAGTATGCTCAGATTCCTGTTCCAAAGACTGCAGAAAAACACCTCCCCCTGACTGGATGCTCCTGGGAAACCTGAAAAAGCACTGCTATTTTCTGTCCTGTCTGTAGTGGCTGCTGGAAGGTGTTCACTGGAAACGAGCTAGCAGCTTTGTTTGGGTGGTGGATGTTTTCTTGCTGGAAGGAAAACTGTTCCAAAGATGCTGATGTGAAGAATGTTTACATGTTAGCGACCACAGTCTCCTCTAAAATTTTGAGGGCAATTGCACTTAAAGAAGGATTTCACTTTGAAGTAAGTGTAGTTTTTGTGATTTGTTATCTCCTCAGCAGAGTAAAATATGATTGCCATTTTCGCCAAGTAGCCCCCTACTTATGACTTTACAAAATAACAAACTTGAGACAAATATCTTTCAATCTCTTGGCTTTGAATTTTTGTGTAGTCCAACTTGCAAAGAGTACTGTTTTACCTAGGTGAGCCTGACTTCAGTATCAGGCAGACTAGCATTTGCAGTGGTTCTTAGTGCACGTTACAGTGAATGCAGACTGCTCCATGAGCATAGAGAAAGCTGCAAGGAAGCTGTAATGGGTGACACAAATTAAGACTTGTATCAAACGTAACAAAATTGGTTAGTCTTGGTTATTTTCCTAGAGATAAATTCTTCTATGTGAGAGAATGTGAGCCTGTGGCACTTGATGTGTTTACTGCAAACATGAAAAGCTTTTTAACGGTTTTGTGGCAAACATTTAGCGACTGCACAATGTTCTTTCGGGTGCCCAGTTCATTAGTATGTTTTAAATTTGGTTTTACTTCAAATTGTAGCAGATGGAAGAACTCTTAAGCTCAGATATTGTGTTGTTTCATTAAGAACTTACCAAAAAAGAATGGGGTGCCACTGCAAACTGACAGATTTCTCAGATTTCTGGGGCTTTTGGCTGTTAGCCATAAGAAATGCAAGAGCTCAGAAGCTTAGCATAAACATGAGCGTACTAAGATCCAGGTGGTGTTTAATACAAATATCCCAGTTAAACCACTGTGCAGTAGAAAAAGATATTTTGCCAGGCAATGAAGAATTAGAAACTAAAATTGAAAATAGTTCTGAAAGCTGTTTTGAATATCTGTCCAAATATGCTTAGACAGGTTGAATATCGCTTCCTGCAGTGAATTTCATTATCTCACTAAATACTGGCTATAGTTTTTCCCAGGAAAGAGGCACATTTGACTGGAAAACAGTTAGGAATTTATAGAACCCTTCCGTCTCCTCTTGGAAAGCTTCCCCTCTTTGTACCCTCCTTCTCTCTGAGAAGATCAGTTTTTGAAGTTTTGACTACTTTTTTTGTGTGATCTGAAGAGCGCAGGCAGTGCTTTTCCAGTCACCCCAAATTGCTGTTTGTATTGTTGTCACTTTTCTTCTTTTGTTAACTTTATATTGTTGTCTCCTCTAATAAGCACTATAGAGATGAGATCTTCTTATCTGATCTTGGGAAGAACCATAGTCTCTCAAGCACGCTTATTTCTGGGTTTAATATTCAATTGCTAGCTGAGTATTCATTAGTAAAATGCTATTCAGTGACCCCTTTGCCTTAAATTCATAATCTGAACTGAAGGCCCAAATTGTGTAATGTTTGTCTTTAGTGTTCCTCCTCTGTTCATCAATCAATTAGATTTAAATTCAGGAAAATTATTTCAAGGAAATAAGAAAAATGACATTAGCTTTAGTGTTTGGACTCTGCAGCAGTCTTTCCCACTGACCCTAAAATCCTTAATGCATCACCTCTTCCCCCCTGCCTCAGTCTGAGGCGTCTGCTTTTTCTAAACTTCCAATTCTAGCACATAAAATTCCCATTTAAGAAGACGTTGTGGAGGTGAAGGGAACAGTGGTCACCTTTAATCAAGCAGGCATGCTTTCTTGTTTGGCTTGAAAGTGCGTAGAAAAGCTTTATATGGTGCATTCTTTTTGTTTGTTTGTTTCAGGAAACACTCCCTGGTTTTAAATGGATTGGAAGTAGAGTGAAAGATCTCCTAGATAACGGAAAAGAAGTTCTCTTTGCCTTTGAAGAGTCCATTGGTACGTGTATTAGTATAACCTTAACATGTTGAGGGGCACGTGGGGGAAATGTGACTATGAAGCAACGGTCTTAATTGTGGAAAGAAACACAGAAGTACTTGATTTTTGTTCTTTGTCCTTCTGCTTACTAGTATCAGTATTTTGTTCTCATCCTATCAGCTTGCCAACTGTCAAAATAAATGATTTACCAACATTTATGATCCAGTCAAATCTCATTCTGATACTGTTCCTGAGCAGTTTCCTGATGCTAACCTGTTCTGATACAAGTTGCAGTCTGTAGATACTGCTCTTGCTTCTTGGCCTTTTAACTAAGATCAAGCATAGAATCTGTTCTTAACTGGTTACTATCTTACAGGTCCTCTCCATGAGGACTAACTATTAAAAGACTTTATGGAGCTGGGAGGCTGCCCAGGAGCTTGCTTCAGTCATACTGCCTATCCCACCAGTATTGCATTTCCTCCAGGAGCCAAACACCATGCTCTCTGGAAAAAATAAAAGCCTGTGAGGAGTCTAGTCATGTGTAGCAGTAGCATTAACTACTGCTTGGAAGTGCATGAATAATCTTTCCAGCCTTCCAGTCTTTAGAAGATGCTTTTCATTCTGTCAAAGGTTTCCCTCAACTGTTCTTTAATGACTTAATTGTTTTTAGCTAGCAATTTAAACTTCCATTATCAAAACTTGGCAATTCTGTGGTGACTTTCATTTAAAAAGTCATGAGCACTCTATTCACATTGATAATCTTGCTGAAACCACTCATTGGCACAGAACTGTGTAGCGAACGTTTCAGCTGTAGGAGTTCTCCATATCTGCGGCTGAACAACAGCTCTTTAGGAGAGTATATTCACATATAGTACGAATGTCAGTTGAAAACGAAGCCCTTACTGAAGAGCGTGCGTGTCTGTGCCGGTTTCCTCCCGTGTTCATTAAATTCAGGAAGCTTTTGTCTATAAGGAGTTAAGATCTTACTCGGAATACCTTCCAAAAGGTGGTAGCTTTGCAGTATTGGGGAGCATGGTTTACCAAGTCTATATCTGTAGAGGTTTCTTTGATTCAAATTACTGGCAAGACTTTTTGCAGTATTGGTGTGCTTGCAGAAAGCGCGCACGCACTTGTGTTTAGCACTGCACTATGAGGAATTCCCATAGACAGCAGATGTTATCTGTCTGGAACTACGAGATGATAGCACATATCTTTCCAGCCCTATAATCCCTAAATTAATTAGATTTTTTTAGAAGAGGAGAATTCATGTGCAGTAATAAAGTAACATTTATCGGCCAATTTTCCTTTATGTGAAAGAGGGTTAAAAGTTCACCCAAATAAATCAATGTAGTAGTATGTCAACTTAGTTTTCCACAATAAGTTTTTTACTTGTAGGGTTTATGTGTGGTACATCAGTGTTGGATAAAGATGGTGTAAGTGCTGCTGTGGTCGTAGCTGAAATGGCAACTTACCTGGAAGGCAAGAACCAGACGCTAGCACAGAAACTCACCAAGATATATGAAATGTAAGTTGTATTTTTTTTTAACACACCCTACTTAATCATTTTCAAGTTATAAAACACCTAGTAAGTATTTTTAATACGTCCCTCAGATGTTTTCTCACGGTAGGTTTTTTTGTTGCTACTGCAGACTGTGATCTTCAATATTACAGATAACACTTAAAGACTATATATCCCAAAGGACTGGAGAGGCACTTTCTGTCTTGTATCTGTAATGAGTTACATAAGAGTAGAATTGTGCCTGTTCATCAACCTTGCAAACTTATTTGATTCATGTTATATTAGCTCTCTTCTCTTCTGACAGGTAGCTGTATCTTAGTTGTGGTCCATGTGCATCTCTTTAAATGCTTAGTATTTTCACTTAAACTCGGTCTGAAGAGCCTTAAAAAGTTGTTTGCTGTTCTGTAGAAGCTTGTAATAAAAATATTATGATTGGTAAAAATGAAGAATGGCTGGAAATGTTTCTCCTGGTGCTTTTACACACACAGCAGAACAAAGATTAAAAGAATGGCCTGTGTATGATATCTACAGACACAATTGACAGCAATAAAATGAGGAACATGTTGTTTATGTCCAGATCGGAAGTTGCATACTCTGACAAACCACAACTCATCAGCATAATTTCCTGTGCTCTGACAGCTGGAGGATGGCAACACATTTTACAGCAAATCATATATGCCGTTCCTTTTCCTGCTGGCCCAGCAGGAAAGCACACTGTAGCCCTAAGAAACGCAACACAAGAAAACACAAACAGTGGTTAGCACAATTGCATAAAACGTACGTAGGCTGAAGTTACCGAAGTTTAAGGCAAAAGGAGTGTTGGATCTTGGTGGGTATAAAAGATGTTTCCAAAAGTGTTTTGTCATTACCAATCAGGAAGGACCCAGAAGCAGTGTTGAGGGTTCGGACAGCTAGTACCTCTTTCTGTTCGTGTTACGCACTCCTTGGACGCATGTCTCGGAGCTTAGAAGTGTGTGGATGTGAGAGTACGAGTGGGTAAAATCAACTTGCTTAGGCATTTTTCAAAATAAAATCACTTTCTCCGTCCCATAAAATCTCACAGTGCTTATTGCATTCATTTCTTGCATTTTAAGATAAGAATGAAATAGCTTGGTTTGGAAGAGTTGTGTTATGGGGCTTCACATACAAGGCTAGCTAAAGACATAGCTTACACGTTCTTTGTATTCTCATAATTTGTAGAGTGCAAAGTTTATTACAAGACTTTAAATTCTAAGACTTAGGTCAATGTGTGTTTAAATGGGGTTTCACCACACTACTTGTAGGTGCCCATAAGTCTTGCATGTTTACCTACCTTAGGTTCTGTAGAAATGCAAAAGCCAAGAGTTGCACAAGGATATAGGTTATGCAGACCTTGAAAAGATCTGCTAGTGTTGCTGTGGCTTGTGGTTTAGGCTCTGCTACTAACAAGCTCTTGAGGCAGTTTTGCCTCTGGTCGTTTATCTCTTTGTGGCGCTCAGGAGTTCACCCTGTCACAGGAAAATTGTAGCAGGAACGATCTCCGTGCAGATCGGAAAAACTGACAAGGATAGTGATGGACGAAGGATTCGTATTCCAATCAGGCTTTAATTCTGCAGGCTGCAAAGACGGGTCTCTACAGAATTCTCGTTCTCCGTAGAATGAGAAGTGGATGGAACACAGCGAAGAACAACTTCATCCTCAAAGTGCAAACATAGTTGCTATACCTAGTGAGCGCTTGCTTACCGTTGGATTGGTGACGATAGTTTTAACTTGGATGAAATGATCAGTCACTTTTCTCAAAGACTGTTGAAATAATCTTTTGTTGTGACTGCTCACATAGGTACAGTAGACAATTTTTGGTGATTTAAGTCAAGATACAGTTTAGGAATATGCTGGTGTGAATGGTGTTGCATATTAATGTCCTGATGGCTGTTGAGGCTGCCCTTAGCCAAACCACTGGCTTTTATTTCTTTGGAACCAAAGCCTTTGCTTGCATTTAAAAAATACTTCAAGATGTTCCGAGGAATGCAATGAAGTCTGCTTCAGAGTCCAGAGACTTGTGTATAAATGCCTGTGTTCTCACAGTTGTGAGAACAGCGTCTTTTTGTTTTGCTGTTTTTTCCCCAGAAGCGGTTTTACTATAGATAACAAGTGTGCAAAAAACTTCTGAATCTTGTAGCTGAAAACATTCTTCTGCTTGTAGGTATGGATATCATATATCAAAGACTTCCTATTTCTTGTGCTATGATCCTCCTACTATCAAAAGGATATTTGAAAAGCTTCGGAACTTCGATGGCCCTCAGTCTTATCCAAAGTTTTGTGGTGTTTATAACGTATTACATGTACGAGATATTACCACGGGCTATGATAGCAGTCAACCGAATAAGAAATCGGTGAGTTGGAAAGTATTTTTCAGGAGAGGTTCCCTTTTTGAAGAGACTGGGGGTTAAATACACCAAGAACTATACAGAGAGATTCTGTGATATCAAGCATGTGGGATATCCACTTAGATTACAATATTATACACTGATTAATAATGTTTACTGGGAAGAAATCTTCTTAAAGAAAATTTGAAATGGCTTGGCTATCCAATTGAGTTTTTTGATATAACAACGAGTGATCCTTCTTAGTTTAAGTGAGTTTGATGCTACTGCAATTCTTCTCTAAGTTGTAGCCTTTTGAAGAAAGCTAAAGGTCATACTGCATGTTGATGATACATCATCTTCCATTTTAAGGACTGATTTTTAAAAGTCTTCATTTGAGAATGTTTGGAAACAGTTGCTGAACTTCTAGAAGCTTCCAAATGTTGGAATTCCTATGGGACTAGTAGGCAGTCCCACTAACTGAAGTACTGAGTCTGATATAGATGATAGGCTTGTATGTTAGGCTAAAATGGCTTGTTGGACTGGTTGGTGGATGTATAATGCATGGGTTTTCAGCATGTCTATTTAAATTTGCATAGGCTGTTCTATTAAAAAAGCTACTTTTTGTGTTGGTTAAGGTGCGCTGTATTAAAATGTTGTTTATGTAGGTGCTGCCGGTGAGTAAAAGCAGTCAGATGATCACTTTTACATTTCAAAATGGTTGTGTTGCCACCCTTCGGACAAGTGGAACGGAACCAAAGATCAAGTATTACGCAGAGATGTGCGCGCTACCCGAACAGAGGTCAGTAACGGATCTGCATGGCTGCACTGCAAAATGTCTTCAGGCTGAAAGGACAGTACCGAGTCACTGGTTCCCCATGGGGGCAGAAGGGTTCCTCTGCTGCCCCTTCTAAGACCCGAACTGTAGCTGAATGTTCGAACCCGTTACACTGGTCAGACTGAGGCACATCCTGATCATGAGGAACCCCTCGGCAGTGCATAGGAAGACAAAGAATTGAGTCTTAACCCTCCTGTAGTAGCAGCTGCTTATGAAATTGTGCTGCTGCTGACAAATGTTCTTGAACCCAGGTGGATTCCTGTTGTGTTTAAGAATCTGCTGTGTTGTTCTGAGTTACCAGATAATAAATAGAGGTCATTCTCCTTTTGACAGCCACCTGAATTCAGCTTTTTCCAGCCTAAAAAAGGAAGAAGAAGAAGAAAAAAAAAAAGGAATTAAAAGGCGTATTTACACCATTGAACTCAAGAGTGCAAATGAGGAGCCTAGGTTCTTGTTATAGCTAATAGAGAGAAGTAGACTCTTGAATTAGATTCGTAAATTGAATTGTGTGATTACCCTCCTCTTAGACCTGTCTCCCAGCACTGCCATGAAGCAGAGAATTGAAAATGTCATAAAGGGGCCTCTGATTGAGTATTTATTGCTATATATTGGCAGGAATTCAGGATAAGCATAACTTTGTCACTGACTGTTATGGTCAATGGATAGTGGTAAATTGCCTGTGCTTGTAAAACGTGCCTGCAGCAGACATACAGATCCATGCCTACACAGCTTTCTACAGGATACTAAACTGTTCTTTAAATCCTATTTTATTGCTGTTCTTTCCTATTATCCTATTTTATGGTGCATATAAGGCAGGTATGGCCTGTCTTTTAATTATTTTTTTAGATTGTTCTGAGTTGCGCTTGGGATAACAGCCGGTCAGAGAAGTGGTAGGTGTTCTCTGCAGCAGTGTTCTGAATGGCCGCTCTTGTCCGAAGCTTGTAGTTTCCTTGATAAGAGAGCTAGTTGATCGTCTGGTATATGACTATACTTGTTTTTGTTTGTTTATTAAGGTAAGGAAATTCTCAATCCACCTGGAACATGCTTCCGTAAATGTGGAAGTGGCCAAGGTACCATCTGATGTACACTACTGATGTATTCTTAGCAGCTGAGGAAAGGACGAGATGTAGTTAAAGCAAACAGCTGGACCCACAAAGAAGAAATAAATTCTAGAAACATTGCCCCTAACCTAATAAGTGTAAACTTAACACAAGTGAGGGCCCGCTGAGTAACAGTAGTGAAGAGGGTAACAAAGTATCCGAGATACTTTGATGGGTCATTGTGGCTTTTGTTGTTCATTCTGGTAACTCAGAAGAGTACAGCAACCTTTTATTTCAGTAATAACTCTGGATAGTGGCAATTATAATCTGGAATATGAATTTGAAAAACTTCCAAGATTCTGTGGTTCAAGGTGTAAGATGCTCTGTGGCTGCCTCAAAATGCACTCCCTGTAATAGCTTTGCCAATGTTTCTCTAATTTGTTGTTTGTTGATCAATCTTAACAGCTTAGCATCAGGAAAGTGGGTTTGGTTGTAGCATTTTTGGGTGCCTTTTAAAGGAAGTGGTGACCTGAAGGGCAATAGTAAATGCCCTTCGAAAGCAAATGTAAATAAAAAGCTTGTTTTGCCCATTCTCCTTTAAAACCAGACTGAGTTCCTCTTCTTACTTACACGGGATGAAAGGGAGTATGCATCTTTAAAGGTGTGTTGCAACGCATTACTCTTTGCACAAATGTGGTTTTTGTCTTTTTGTACAAATAAAGGCATTTAAATTGAGCAGGGATTACTGTATTATGGTGTCCCCTCATGAGCTGTGGAACTTCATCCAGTTACTCAGTCCTTACAATTCATGCTTTGCTTAAAACACAATCATATCCCCTAGAAGGGCACCTGGAGTCTGCTAAAGATGAATGTAGGGGATCTACTTCTTCTATTAGTAGTTCATTCTTGTTTTCTCACCACCTCTAATCTGTGGCTGACCCGTTTGTCTTGCATCAGTTTTACAGCCATTAGTTCCTGTGTGTTTTCTGCTAGATGAGAGACCTCTAGTGGCTGTTTTTCATGTCTGAATTAATATTGCAATAATCCCTACCAAACAGTAGCTTGATAAGCCAGAAGTCTGGAGTCTTTACAGGTTGATGGTAATAAGAAAAGTAATAGAGCTAGTCCATCGCCATCAGATCTTGCACTTTTAAACTAGATGCTTGGTGTTAATCTAACCTCTGTCATCTGCTTATTCTCTCTCTAGTGACAGAACCTTTCTTGAGGAAGAACTTCAGAAGCTTATTGAGGCTTTAATTGAGAATTTTCTTGAACCTGATAAGAATGGACTGATCTGGCGTTCTGCTTAGAGCTCCTATAACTGGTGTTTAAAGAAGTGACTGCTTGCACTGCATCACGTGAAGCAAAGGAACCAAGAACAGGACTCCATTTAACGTGTGTGTGTGTGTGTGTTTAAACAAACAGCTACATTTTTAACCTATATAGAAGCAGCATTTTTTTGTCAGCTTTTTCACCAGAGTCCAGGCTAATAAACTGGAACAAGGGGAGAGGAAGTGAAGGAGAGGGATGGAATTTATTATCTAGAATTTCCCGTTCTTTTGACCAAAAGAATAATTAAATTATACCAATGCAAATGATCTCCTGTAGCAGGTTTGAGACAGCTAATTTTAGCCACTGGACTTTGTTTTTAAACTAATTTCAGGTACCCAGTACTTCTTTGTGTGAAAAGGCTTTAAAATCTGGTAGTCATAGTATTTGAAGGAAATGATCATGCCAAACTGACAAAAAAAAAAAAAAAAAAAGCCTGCTTCATAGCTGTTGTGTGTGAATGTAGGTGTCATTGCTACAGGTCTTAATTTAGAAATATGTTAAAGTAGAATTCAGTGCTTAGGGTTTCTTATTTAGGCAAGTTGTTCCGATATGACGTTTTTCAGCCACATAAATATCTTTCTGTTGTTAAAGGTGCTCTTGGTGCATTGTATCTTTCCTCTGTGTATCTTAAAATGTTTACTCGACAGTGAAACAATAGTGGCAACACATGCAGTTCCACTTGCAGTCTGGTTTTTGAATTATGTAGTACCCTTCCAAGGCTTCCAAATGAGTAGAGACATGTTCCTTTCTTGGTTAAGTTGCCTATTCTAACTACTATAGGCTAGATAATCATTTTTCATCCACCTTTACACATCTCTGAAGGAACTTAAAATTTTTTTTTAATAAACGTTTTGGAATTCAGTAACTTGTGAAAATGCCAGTTAGTGACTTTTCTGTTTTTAACGACTTGGAATTCACAGTGTCCTTATGTATGAGCAACAGAAGAGAGTGGAGGTGAGCCCTTGACCCCCTTGATTTTTTTTTTAATTGTCACACCTTGCAAACTAATATCTATTAGAATAGCAGTTTGCAAATACTATTGATCTTTGTCTTTCAGTGCAAAATTTTAACTAGTTCTCATTATCTGTTTTCTACCTTTGCTTGAGTAGAAAGTGATACTGCTAATCACTTTTTTTCAAAAAATAAGCCGATGTAGAAAGTTCTCATGTAGCTATATAGCTAGCCTTTCCGAAGATGAAATCCATGTTATTGGCATAGAAAAGCTGTGAAAGATTTTTTTGTCTGAAACTATGCATTTAGAAAAGCTGCATAGGGATTAACTGAGAGTAGTACTTGTTAATGTGTATTACTAAATTCCTAATATAAGCCTTCCGAACAAGGTCAGCGGGGTTCTGGACGTCTGTCCACTCTCACTTTACAGTAATTACGGCAAGTAGACGCAACTGAACGCTTAAGCTGTGTGTTGAAGAATAAGTAAGAAGAACTCGAGATGCACTTAAGTTAAAAAGATTGTTTTGCCGCTATTGTTAAATCTCCGAATTTGTCCTCCATCTTATTATACCCTTACAGCTTGATGCCACAGGACTGTGCAGAGTGGTTTTGTATGCATTGCATCTAGATGGGTTTAAAGAGCACCGAGGTTTCTGTGTCTGTGCGGGTATTGGATATTTCATGCTGACAGGAGCTTTGCACTATAACCGTGAATAAGTATTTTGCTGTATATGAACGTACATGTATTGCAGAAGGTGTGTTGCACAAATTCTTATTTGCCACCGATATTTATTTATTTTTTATTTTAAGAGAAAATATTTCCAAATTGTTCCACAACTGAGAGAAATGGATCTAATGCCAAAAAAGATTTTTTTTCTTGATTGTATATTTGACTGGTGTAGTAGGGAAAATGAGTGAAAGCATTTAAGCTTTGAGCATGCTCATGATATTGCCCAGCTTTGGGGAGGTATCAGAAGGTGCGAAGGCACGTCTCTGAGTGCTGCTTTGCCCTCAGTTTCCCCAAAAAGGTGCAGGTTCAGATCCTGCTCTGACTCCGCTGAAGTTGGAGGAGGTTTTGCCATTTGTTTCATTGGCAGCCGACTCAAGGCCTTAGGTGTTTTGGATTTTGTTTTTAAATATCCTACTAATAGTTCAGAAGAGAACAAGTCACTTCAGAACATGATTTTGAACAAAGACAAACACTGTAAAAAGCTTACTGTGTGTGATTAGGCCAGCTGTGTGTGTGTGGTAGCAGTTAGTATTGGGAGTTATGTCTTGTGAGTTATGTTTGTGCTCCTACAAAGAGCAGGAATCTGCTATTTCCCAGACAGGTCTGCTATATATCAGTAGGCCAGAGTTATAAATGTAGTATAGAAGAAAACTATGATTATATTTTGGCATTGGCCTTCTTAAAAGTTGGTCACTGTTCATGGTTAAGTATCTTTAATAAAAGCATACATGGGGAGTTAAGTATCTGGGATTCTTCTCATTGATAGATTGAGGCTGTTATTATTTGAGCAGTATGTTATAGATGTTGTAGTGCTTTTGGAATGACAGCAACAGGTACAACATATTGAATGTATTTTAAGGGTATAATAACTATTGCTGTTTTTTTGAACTGCTGCTACCATTGTTTTCCTATTGTATTTGAACTGTTTGATATATTTATACTGTTCCATTTGTGGAACTTTTTTCCTTTTCTCCTCCCTCGTCTTGCCTCCCTTCTGTTACTGTGAAGGACTGTAATTCTCTTATTGCTCTGTAACTTTGTTAGATGCAATGTTAGAGTTTGTTGCACTTGTGCACAATACTCTTTCAGTTGTAGTCTGTTCTGTACTATTTTTCAAAGAAAAACAAAGGCTATCAAAACTTGAGCAGGAGACAGGTAATAGATCAAAATACATTCGGGATGTTACTAGGCGCATACGGTTGACATGCACCTTTTCAAAGGCTAAACATCAGCTTAAACTGTAACCATGCCACCAATGATTTTTTTTTTTAGCATTGGATTAAAGCTAAGAGTGCTTGTTTTTTTTTTTCTTTTCCCTTTTTGATGTGGTGGGCTTCATCTCTGTCTCACTCAGACATGTGGTAACTGGGATCCTGTCTGAGTAGGTTTCCAAATTTCCTTAATTTTAAATACCTAGCTCTTCTGTGGGCAGGGGGAGGAGTGCTCACTTGTATCATCCACATAGTAAAGTAAGAATTAAAATTCTGTGTGTTGCTGTTTCAGGCATTGGAATGACTTATAACATGCAGTACACAGTGCCTAAGGCTTTTACCTGCCTTGGGTAGTTCTTGACTAATCTCAGGCCGTTGCTGTATTTTCAGTCGAAGGATACCTGCATGCTGAAACTATGATGTTTTTCCCTGATTTAGCAGTAGTCATGTGGCACTCCTCGTCCCAATGTGTGCCTGGTTTGTAAAGTATTAGGAATTTCAGTTCCCATTTCACTAAAGGTGTGTTTATCAAAATTTTGAGGGGAAAACCCACCAGATGGAATGACAATTTCTTTTATGTAAAATGGGGTAGAATCCCCCCAAGATGGGGTAGACTGTTTTTGGAAAGCTGTTCTGTTCTTGAATGGTACTGATGCTTGCTTTGAATGAAGGCGCCTGCGTCTGAGGAACGCTTCATGGAGAGCTTTGCAAAAAATCTAGTATAGCCATTGCTGGTTACAGGACATCTCAGATCCAGGCTTGGATATAAAGAACTGATTCCAGGGCAAAGAGAGATGAGATGCTTCCTGAGACTGGATGGCAGAGGTGTAGCTCGCCACATCAACGTAGCGCAGTGGCTGTAGCCTCAGCGAAGGGTTTGGTGTGCCCATTTCACCACGCCAAGCCCAATTTTTGTCAAGTGTTAAATGGTATGTGCCCTTTCTTTAAAACAACAACAGTAACAACAAAAACAGATGAATGAAGTTGAAAGTTAACTGCATGTTCCCTTTAATTTTAAAGCTACTTGAGTAGCTTTACTCAAGTTTACTCAACATTTCAGTTTTGTCTCTTCCCCCTTTTTTTGCTATTCTGTTCCCAGTGTACAAGCGGGGGGAGCTGTTTGCCTGGTGATGCCTGGATGATTAGAGTCCATCCTGATGCTGAAATCCTGGTACACAGTACGCTTTCTGTGCTCCCCCACCTTTGTGTGCTCAGAAGTAGCTTTGTACGAGGTAACTGAAGCTCAGTATCTGAAGTTGCATTGTTCTTGTCTAGAGTCCTGGGGAGTTGTAGATCTATACTCTTGTCTATCCAGTGACTGGTCTCCTGTAAGATTAGGGCATATTATAAATACAGAGTGAGAATTTGCACTTTTCTGAAGTACTTCTGTGTGTATTGCTATGTGGATTTAGCTGAATGAAGTGTTGTAAGTAATAAAATGTTTTCTTCGTGGTAGCAATCCTTCACGTTTCCTCTGTATTCTTTAGTCCAACAGTATTACCAGTCCAAAACCAGAGCTGGCCAGTCAGCTGTTCTTGGGTTGGCATAGAAGGAAATATCGACCCTGCGCCACTCTAAATATCGTACTGGGGCAATACGTTGCTTACACAAAGGAAAGGCAGCACACCCCATGGGTCCTGGCAGCTCGTGCTGCGGCGTGGGGAGGAAAGGGGGAAAGGACCTCATTGCAAATCTGGGGGGTGGCTGGACACTGACCATCTGAGCAGCACAACAGGAATTTTAAAAGGAAAAGGGGTTGGGGTGGGTTTTCCATGTACCCAGCTGCACGTTGGGTTGTTATTGTCTGAATCCCCAGGAACAACACGATCTCCTGAAGAAGCCCTTCAGAAGTTCATCACTCTGAGAGAGACAAAAGGTGAGCCAGGTGCTGTTAAACTGGGAGAGGTCACGTCCAAGGGGCTTGGCGCTAGAGATGTCCCAAGGCAGAGCCCGAAGGACTGAAGGACACTCGGTTGCGACCGGAGTTTGCCACCGATGTCACCATGAAGCAGGTGGGAAGGGAGCCTCGGTCAGGGCCCAGAGTTGAGCAGGGACCTGCTGCTGCTCACGCCAGAGAGGGCGAGTTAGTGAGGAGGAGCGACTACCCCGCCATTCGGGGACAGAGGGTCTGGCAGCTGACGCGTACATGGATATTTCTTTTTTCCTTCTGGGCAGGCAGGAATCGGAGGAAGAAACCCTGCCCCGTGTCTGCAGCTCCCGGCTCGGGAGCTTTCCCAGCCATTCTGCATGTTTTTTTGGTTACGTGGGATAACACAATTCTTTGCCTCCATCTTCCTGAATGTGGGAAAGAAAAAAGCCTGATGATATCAAACAGGAAGAGAAGGAGGGCACTGTGCTCCAAAAAGGTGGGGCTTTATCACTGCTACGCGTTTAAGGTGGATGCTTGGGGCCACGAGCCAGCGGGCGAAGCTGGCGTTTTGGGGGTGAACTAGCTTCACGGAAAGCAACAGCCTAGAAGGGGGCAAGAGCCCTGATCAGGGGAGCAGGAGGGCCTGTTTCTGAGCCTGTAGCAAGGGAA